CGAACCAAACGATTCCTGTGCCTTTTCGTTTGTTTACAAACCCGCTGCTGCCACTTGGAAATGGCCACATCCCTAGACACAGGTAGTTTCGTGAACGCATTCACCTGGATGACTGCTAGAAGAGGATGGCCCAAGGTAATGGTTAGCGACAACGGATCAAACTTCGTCTACAAGCTTTAACACATGGCACCAAAACCATCTAGCTCAAGTCTTCATCTAAATGTCTCGGCTTAACTTTATAGACAATAGGTTATCTTGGCAGGATCATATTACGAAGATTTGTAAATTGTTTAACAATAAATTGGCTGTTCTGAAACGAATTAAATTCCTACCTCAGTCCATTTTGTAATCTATTTGAACTCAATTATTCCTAGTGTTGTGTATAATATTGTTGTTTGGGGCTCTGTTTCCTTGGTACTTATGGACAGTGTATGGAGGATATTGCACGTATTCATATGAGAGCATTAAAGATTGTCTACAAGCTACCTATAACCACTCCAACTGATGAGAGCAAGAAGTTGAGGCAATGGAATCCCATCTCGTCGTATTATGTAAAGATGCTGGTGGTTGTGACCTACCGATCCTATCATGGTTTAAATACAGAGGAACTTAATATTCTAATTTCTATGGCAAAACCCAATTACAGTTTAAGGAATTCTTTAAATATAGAAGTGCCAAGACCAAGATCTGAAATTGGCAGGTCCTCTTTTAAACACTGGGCTACCTTGGAATGAAACCTTCTTCCGCACCATGTCAAGGACTGTGCAAATTTGAGATCATTTAAGATTGGGCTTAATGCGAATAAACATGTACTAAATAGCATAAATTTACATCTTGCTCACCTAAATTTTTATCTTTATTGAATGCGACAATATTTGATTAACTGTATTTAGCTAGGTCCACATCAGGACTTTTGTCTTGCCAATTTTCATAACCTGCATTGTTAAAAAACGTATGCATGTATGTGTGTATAAAAATGCCTTTGGCAAAAAAGTGGGGAAATAGGAAATGGAAACTTAACCCTTGACAAGATTTCTCCCCACAGCCTCCAACTCTTCCACAAAATGATCATGTCGCATAAAGGGAACTCTCTCCCTCTGCCCTTTAGTCATAACAATTGAAAATTCTTTCCAGAATAATAAATAAAATTCACAAATGACTCCAACCCAAGCCCCTAGTTCTAATTGGCCCAGTTTATTAACAATTAACAAAGCCTGTTCTCCCGGACCTGGGACAGGAGGAGAAACCTGTTCCCTAAAGATTAGGGCCGAAGGAGATACCTGGCAGGGAGGGTTTTGAGCATGGTGCATTACTCCTTCAGCCACGTTGCCTTCATTCCCAGCTGCTCTTCCCACTGAGTCAGAATTTGAGAGCAATGCTACTCGTGTACTTCTTAATTCATCT